TTTCTGAAGCTGAGGAAACTGAAGAAAAAATTAAAGCCTCGACTTGCAATATAGACTAATTCTCTGGGCAAATTATTGAATGATGCAGAAAGCATCAAAAGAAGATAGAAGAAATACACAGTCACTGTACCAAAAGGAAATGGTTGATGTTTAACCATTTCAAACGGTAGCATGTGATAAGAAAGAGTCAATGATTCTGAAGGAAAAAATTCAAGGTGCACTAAAGGTAATGGCAAACAATGAGACACTGGCAAAGAACAAGGCACCAGGAATTGATGGAATAAAAATTGAAATCTTTCAGGAAAGTGAGGCAGCACTGGAGGAACTCACTCATCTATGCCAAGAAATTTGGAAGACACTATCTGGCCAACTGATTGGAAGAAATCCGTATTTGTTTCCATTCGAAAGAGAGGTGACCGTGCCGAAATCATTGTCTTTGATAACCCATGCAAGTAAAGTTTTACTAAAGGTAATACAGAAACGGCTGCAAGCATACATTGACAGAGAACTTCCAGAGGTTCAAGCTGGATTCAAAAGAGGATGTGGAATGAGAGATATCATTGCTAATGTCTGATGGATCATGGCTGAAAGCAGAGAATACCAGAAAGATGGTTACCTCTACTTTATTGACTACACAAAGGCTTTTAATTTTGTGTATCATGAAAAACTGTGGACAACATTGTGAAGTATGACTATTCTGGAACACTTAATTGAGCTCATGAGGAATCTGTACAGGAACCAAAAGGCAGTTGTTCAAATAGAACCTGGGAACACTGAATGGTTTAAAATTAAGAAAGGTGTGCAACAGGGTTGTATTCTTTCACCATACTATTCAACCTGGATGCTGAGCAAATAATCTGAGAAGATGGGTTATGTGAAGAAAAAAATGGCATCACGATTGGAGGAAGACTCATTAACAACCTGCAATCATGCAGATGATGCAACCTTGCTTGCTGAAAGTGAAGAGGACTTAAAATATTTACTGATGAAGATCAAAGACCACAGCCTTCAGTATGGATTGCATCTCAATGTAAAGAAGAAACAAAAAAATCCTCACAGTCAAGAAGCAGCAGTCAAGAAATCAAATAATGTATTGTTTTCAACACTTTTAAAAGTGTTGAAGAGCAAAGATGTCAGCTTGAGGACTAAGGTGCGCCTGACCCAAGCCATGGTATTTTCAATAACCTCATATGCATGTGAAAGTTGGACAGTGAATTGATGTTTTGAGTTATGGTGTTGGAGGAGAATATTGAAAGTGCCATGGGCTGACAAAAGAACCAACAGATCTGTGTTGGAAGAAGTGCACCCAGAGTGCTCCTTGGAGGCCAGGATGACCAAACTTTGTCTCTCATACTTTGGACATATTGTCAGGAGGGACCAGTTGCTGGAGAGGATATGTTTGGTAAAGTGGAGGGTCAGAGAAAAAGAGGAAGAGCCCAACCAAAATGGATTGGCAAAGTGGCAGCAAGTCACAGAATAGATACACATTTTATTAGCCCAGAAAGTACAAAATCAAAGTAAAGTTGTAATTTTGTTGTTGTTGCTAAGTGCTGTCCAGTCAGTTCCAATTCATGGCAAACCTGTATCGGGTTTCTGACGAGCAGATGGTCATTTGGACTGCAAACCTTGAGGTTAGCATTCCAATGTTTATCTTGCAGTGCCACACCATTACACTTAAAGGACTTTACTAGAGTTAGTTACCGTATGCAGTGTATTGTTGTTGTTGTTAGGTGCAATTGAGTCAGTACTGATTCACAGTGATACAACAGAATGAAACACTGCCCGATCCTGGACTAACCTCACAATTGTTACGACGCTTGAGCCCATTGATGCTGCCACTTTGCCAATCCATCTCTGTTGAGCCCTTCCTCTTTTTCTCTGACCTTCCACTTTACCAAACATGATCTCCTTCTCCAGCAACTGGTCCCTACTGACAATATGTCTAAAGTATGAGAGACAAAGTTTGGCCATCTTGGCCTCCAAGGAGTACTTTGGCTGTACTTCTTCCAAAACGAATCTATTGGTTCTTTTGTCAGCCCATGGTACTTTCAATAGTCTCCTCCAACACTATAACTCAAATGCATCAATTCTTCTACGTTCTTCCTTATTCACTGTCCAACTTTCACATGCATAAGAGGTTATTGAAACCACCATGGCTTGGGTCAGGCGCACCTTAGTCTTCAAGTTGACATCTTTGCTCTTCAACACTTTAAAAAGGTCTTGTGCAGCAGATTTGTCTAATGCAGTATGTCGTTTGATCTCTTGACTGCTGCTTCCATGAGTGTTGATAGTTGATCCCAGGAAAATGAAGTCCTTGACAACTTCAATGTTTTCTCCAGTGATAAGAATGCTGTTTATTGGTCCAGTGGTGAGAATTTTTGTTTTCTTTACACTGAGATGCAATCCATACCAAAGGCTGTGGTCTTTCGTCTTCATCAGTTTTAAGTCTTCTTCACTTTCAGCAAGCAAGGTTGTATCATCTGCATATCGCAGGTTGTTAATGAGTCCTCCTCCAATCCTGATGCCATATTTTTCTTCACAGAACCCAGCTTCTCAAATTGTTTTCTCAGCATGCAGGTTGAATAAGCATGGTGAAAGAATACAACCCTGTCACACACCTTTCTTAAGTTTAAACCATTCAGTATTCCTACGTTCTGTTTGAACAACTTGGTCCTGGTACAGATTCCTCATGAACACAATGAAGTGTTCCAGAATAGTCATACTTCACAATGTTGTCCATAGCTTGTCATGATCCACACAATTAAAAGCCTTTGCATAGTCAATAAAGCACAGATAAATATCTTTCTGGTATTCACTGCCTTTAGCTAAAATCCATCGGACATCAGCAATGATGTCCGTCATTCCAGGTCCTCTTCTTCATCCAGATTGAACCTCTGGAAGTCCTCTGCCAATGTATGCTTGCATCCTTTTCTGTTTACCTTTAGTAAAACTTCACTTGCATGGGATATCAACGATATTGTCCGATGATTTCCACATTCTGTTGGGTCATCTCTCTTTGGAATGGGCACAAATATGGATCTCTTCCAATCAGCTGGCCAGATAGTTGTCTTCCAAATTTCTTGGCATAGATGAGTTAGTGCCTCCTGTACCGCCTCACTTTCTTGAAAGATTAAAATTTTTACTCCATCATTTCCTGGAGCTTGTTCTTTGCCAATTCCTTCAATGCACCTTGGACTTCTTCCTTCAGTGTTGTTGGCTCTTGATCACATGCTAGCTCTTGAAACAGTTGAACATCAACTATTTCCTTTTGGTACAGTGACTCTATATATTCCTTCCATCTTCTTTTGATGCTTTCTGCATCATTCAATAATTTGACCATAGAATCCTTCAATAACAAAAGTCAAGGCTTGAATTTTTTCTTCAGTTCCCCCAGCTTGAGAAATGCTGAGCATGTCCCTTCTTTTTGGTTTTCTGACATCAGATCTTTGCACATTTTATTGTCTTATTGGACTTTGTTTTCTCAGTCCTTTGAAGTTTTCTGTTCAGCTCTTGGACCTCCTCATTTCTTCCATTTGCTTTAGCATCTCTATGCTGGAGAGCAAGTTTCAGTGTCTCATCTGACATACATTTTGATCTTTTCCTTCTGTCTTGTCTTCTTAATGACTTTTTGTTTTCTTCCTGTATGATGTTCTTGATGTCATCCCACAACTTTTCTGGTCTTCAGTCTTTAGTGTTTAATGTAACAAATCTGTTCTTCAGATGATTTCTAAATTCAGGTAGGATATATTCAAGGTCCTATTTTGGCTCTCGTGGACTTGTTTTCATTTTCTTTTGCTTCAGTTTGAATTTTCATATGAGCAATTGATGGTCTGTTCTACAATCTGCCCCTGGACTTGTTTTGACTGTTGATATAGAGCTCTTCTATCATTTCTTTCCACAGATGTAGTCAATATGATTTCTATGTATTTTATATGGTGAGGTCCATCTGTATGATCATCTCTTATTCTGTCTAAAGAAGGTATTTGAAAGGAACAAAATCATTGATTTTGCAGAATTCTATCATGTGATCTCCAGCATCATTTCTATCACCAAGGTCGTATTTCCCAACTATTGATGCTTCCTCTTTGTTCCCAACCTTTGCATTCCAGTCAGCAGTAATGATCAATACATCTTAATAATTGGAACAGGGAATGTACGAAGTATGAATCTAGGAAAATTGTAAATGGTCAAAAATGAAATGGAATGCATAAACATGGGTATTTTAGGCATTAGTGAGCTGAAATGGACTGGTATTGGCCATTTTGAATCTGACAACCACATGGTTTACTTTGCCTGGAATGACAAATTAAAGAGGAATGGTGTTGTATTCACTGTCAAAAAGAACATATCCAGATCAGTCATGAGGTATAATACTCTCTGTGATAGGATAATATCCATGTGCCTACAAGGAGTCCTGGTGTGAGGCTGTGGGTTAATGCGCCAGGCTGCAAAGCCTTGCACTGCAAGGTGGTGGTTCAAGCTCACCAGCTGCTCCTTGGAAATCTTATACAGGGTTGCTATGGGTCAGAATCGACTCGATAGCATTTGACAACAACAACAACAAGGAATATCAGTTAATACCACTATTATTCAAATTTACACATCAACCACTAAAGCCAATGAGAATGAAATAGAAGAATTCTACCAACTTATTCTATCTGAAATTGATCAAACATGCAATCAAGATGTATTGATGCAGTGTATAGTGACTATTTAAATATCATCCTTCAATGAGCATTACTTAATGTTACCTGTATACGGCCCTACCCACACCCCCAGCTAAATCCACCCCATCACAACACTCCCAGTCTCTTTTGCCCTGCATTACTTTTGCTCCCTTCCATAGCTCTTATTGGCCCATGTTTTCAAAATTGTCTGATTATAAACATCATTTTTCATGTCCACATATTTTAGCAAAAACTATACTGAAAGCAAAATGACAATGAAGCTTGTACTATTAGGACCCTAAATATAGTTTGGGTATTTTTTTCCTTATTAAGAGCTACAAGCAGCTGTTGAAGAGGTGCTGCCGAGTCTGAAAAAAGATGGTGTGTCCGTCTATTATGTGAGCAGAACTTCTAACACGGATGGGATTGACCCTTTCCTGGACAAGGTGGATGAAGTGTCAACTGAACCTACCCCAGAGTCTTGGAGGTCTGAAGTCGCATTTTCCTCTCCTGCCCTATACATTTATACCTCAGGAACCACAGGTAAAAATACAGAGAGGATCTCATTTAAAGGAACCAATTTGGAAGGAGTTAACTGTTGGGTTAGATTTTCAAGTGTTCTCGCTCTTTAGTAAAACTTAATCAGTTAACTAATACTTTGGGGAATTTTACTCTTTGCCTGTGGAATTGATCTTACTTTATAGCATATGATCCCATTTGGGTTTCTCCAGGCTATGCCTGTCTTTCTCCCATTGGCATAGAGCAGATAAAGAAATTATCCAAGAACTCCAAAATATAACTAAGGTAATGGATGAAATTTGACACTGAATTGTTAGAACTCTTGTTGGAATTTTTGTTAGAATTCTTTAGAATATTTAGAATTTTATGTTAAAATTTTAGAAAACAATTATTATAGTTTAATTATGTTAGATTCAGAATCAATATATAATGTATGCTTCTGTTGAGTAGTTTCTGACTCATAGTGACCCAGTATAGGCTTTTCAAGGAGCAGCTAGTGAGTTTGAACCACTGACCTTGTGATTCAAAGTCCAGTGCTTATCCTATAACAGCACACCAAGAGTCCATATATAATGGAAAATCAAGTATAAATGGACAACAGAGCAGACTTCAGGAGAGGATTGGGTTAATGTTTATGTGACTCTTTCCTCCTTCATGGATTCACTTGTATCTTTGCAAAGGTCTCCCGAAAGCAGCTGTGATCAATCACCAACGCCTATGGCATGGAGTCAGTTTAACTACAACAATCGGGATTAAGGAAGATGATGTCATTTATACCGCTCTGCCCTTGTACCACCTTGCTGCACTTGTAATTGGAGTCTGTGGATCTATCATAAAAGGTAAGCTTTTTCTTTTAAGAATTGGAGGCTGGTTACTACTGTAAAATAGACACCTGAGTGGGATAGAAAGGAATATAAGAAAACATGATTACAGAAAGCTTGTAAGCCCATCTTCAGCCTATAACTGATTGGAATACCTAAAAGGGTTTCTAGAATTTGCCCAGTGAAATAGGCTTCCTGCAGAACCTTTGTAGTCTATAGGACCTTAGATGAAGCCCCATCCAGAACCTACTGTGATGAGACATTCCTACTTGAAAGGACAAGCAGACAAGCCTGCTAGAGGAACAGAAGATACTTCTTGAAAGAAAGACCAGCAGGAAAAATCCAAAACAAAAATGGCAGTTTGGTTGGCTACTGCAAGAACAAGCAAGTTGTTCACAGGCAAGCCATCAAGGCAACCAATCAAGTCCCTTCAGGACAAATACCCCTCCAAGACTGAAACCCATAGGGAACACATGAGCAGGCAAGTAAGCTTTCTGGCAACCACATTGGGCTCCTGGTGAGTGGAAGAGAGGGGAAGGCAGCAATGAAGCTATGAGCCAAGTTTGACCACATTCCATAGATTCCTGTGGATCTGGAGATGAAAGACAGAAGAGAAGGTGTTGGCTGGTTCAAAGTGTGGTGAGATCTGTGGACTCCTGACATAGCCACAGAAGGCTGGAGCTGAGAAGAAAGTGCCTGCTGATGCGAAGTGATGGGAGAGACACACAAGAATACCCAAACATGCAGATAGTACCCATTTGACCTGGCTTCGATGGCTTTATGATAAGAACTCAAATAGAGGAAGATAAAAGATAAAGGAAACAAGTATAAGTTGCTACAATTTGATGTACTTGACTTCCAGTTATGGATGTACTAGCTCAAAATACCAACGGAGACAAAAGGAGTCTTCACATCAAGTATCAATCCTATCCCCTCTGTATACAGGGTTGATAGAGACAGGCAACTTAGACATTGGCTACCTAAAATGGAAGGGGCTATAAAGGTGTGCAGTGACTGGCTTACAAGTTTTCAAGAGGGAGTTTAGTTTCAGAGTGTGTGGGGGAAGGTAGAATCCCCACCGAATAGTTTGCATCTTGTCTAGACTGGTCTGGTGAAAGGATATGGGGCTAAGATTCTTATGATTCACTATTGAATCATAAGAATGATAGCAATAGTAATTGCTATCATGACTAATTGTGACGGTCACAACTGTAAAGAGGAGAGGAGTTAATCTTGTTCAGTCCAGGAACAGAGAACCCTAGTACCATTGAGAGAGAGGAGCATGAGCAGAATGTGGTACCCTATCCAGAGAAGCCAGAGATGGAGGCAGAGATGAGCTCATGGAGAGAGAGTAGCTGAGGACTCTAGACTCATGGAAAGAGAAAGGCTGTGTGCTGGCAGCCAGTTGCTGGTGGCCTGGGGGCAGGCTTGCAGAATTTGTCCTTTGGTTGTTTAAATGATTATATATTCCTGAGTGTTTTTGTGTATATCTCCCCACCAAAACAAAAACAACAGAGGGAATAGAAACAAATGCTGTTGAATGATGATGCACAGAGGAGAGATTGTAATTATTGCAATGAAATGATAAATGTAAAACTGATGTACCCCCATGTAAACTAATCACTCATTCACAATAAAAACTTTACGAAAAAAAAAAAGAATTGGAGGCTGGTACACATTCATATAGTCACATCTGCTAATAAGGCAAAGTAATACAAAATTTAACTACTTTCCTGTATACCTTTCATGTATACCTTGATAAATATTCATTTCTCAAGACCTGACTCACATCCTACCTCTTCCAGAATATCCTCAGCTCTTGCCACAAACAGAATTAATCTACACACACACACTCACCACTCACTTAGAACCTCATCAGATCCTCTTACTGCATGCTGCCTTGTATTAGAATGACTTTTGTATGGGTCTTCCCTCCACTAGATTGGTATTAGTGGCACTGTGGGCTATGCATTGGGCTTCTAACCACCAGGTTGTTGGTTCAAACCTTGCAGCTACTCCATGGAAGAAAGATGAGGCTGTCTGCTACAATAAAGAATTATAATCTCAGAACCTCTAAAGAGCAATCCTACTCTGTCCAATAGGGCCACTGCGAGTCAAATCAACTCAATATCAATGGGAGTTTTTGTTGTTAGGTACCATCGAGTCAGTTCTGACTCATAGTGACCCTATGCACAATAGAATGAAATACTACCTAGTCATGCACCATCCTCACTACTTTTGTTACACTTGAGCCCATTGTTGCTACCACTGTGTCAAACCACTTCCTCTTTTTTTGGTGACCCTCCACTTTACTAAGTATAATGTCCTTCTCCAAGGACTGGTTCCTCTTGATAGTATTTCCAAAGTATGAAGACTAAGTCTCACCATCCTGGGTTCTAAGGAAAATTCTGGCTGTATTTCTTCCAACACAGATCTGTTTCTTTTTCTGGCAACCATGGTACTTTCTGAGATATTTGTACCTAGACCAAGAAGCAGTTGTTCGAACAGAACGTGGGAACACTGAATGTTTTAAAATTGGGAAAGGTGTGAGACAGGGTTGTATTCTTTCACCATACTTATTCAACCTGTATGCTGAGCAAATAATACGA